TTACTTGGCAGAGAAACTAACACATTACTATGATAAAGACAAACTTAGAACTCAAAAGATTTACGTTCATTGATGTCATTCATTCATTCATTCATTCATTCATTCATTCATTCATTCATTCATTCATTCATTCGTTCATTCATTCAATGGTATAACAGAATGACGCTTGGGTTCCAAACGTTAAGAGACTTATGGATTGCTTGCAATACTATGATAATTGCTTGTTAAAGTATTGTTCATCTAAATGCTATTTTGATTGAATAATGATTGTGAATGAAATAAGTAGTGTAAATGGTTTATATGACTGATTCTTTAGACAACTTTATTTTATCTCGAGTCTGCTATCGTAGACTTTTCCTGTTAGATGCCTGCTATCGTAGGCACTTTTTTATCTCAAGTCTGCTATCGTAGACTACTTCTGTCACATGCCTGCTACCGTAGGCACTATTTTATCTCAAGTCTGCTATCGTTGACTATTCCTGTCAGATACCTGCTATCGTAGGAACTATTTTATCTCAAATCTGCTATCGTAGTCTATTCCTGTTAGATGCCTGCTACCGTAGGCACTATTTTATCTATCGTAGGCACTATCTTATCTCAAGTCTGTTATCGTAGACTATTTCTGCTAGATGCCTGCTACCGTAGGCACTATTTTATCTCAAGTTTGCTATCGTAGACTATTCCTGTTAGATGCCTGCTATCGTAGGCACTATTTTATCTATCGTAGGCACTATTTTATCTCAAGGCTGCTATCGCAGACTACTTCTGCTAGATGCCTGCTACCGTAGGCACTATTTTATCTCGAGTCTGCTATCGTAGACTATTCCTGTTAGATGCCTGCTATCGTAGGCATTATTTTTTCTCAAGTCTGCTATCGTGACTATTCTTGTTTGATGCCTCCTATCGTAGGCACTATTTTTTCTCAAGTCTGCTATCGTGACTATTCCTGTTAGATGTCTGCTATAGTAGGAACTATTTTATCTCAAGTCTACTATCGTAGACTATTCCTGTTAGATGCCTGCTAGCGTAGGCACTATTTTATTTCAAGTCTACTATCGTAGACCATTCATGTTAGATGCCTACTATCGTAGACACTATTTTATCTATCGTAGGCACTATTTTATCTCAAGTCTGCTATCGTAGACTACTTCTGCTAGATGCCTGCTATCGTAGGCACTATTTTATCTCAAGTCTGCTATCGAAGACTTTTCCTGTTAGATGCCTGCTATCGTAGGCACTATTTTATCTCAAGTCTGCTATCGTAGACTATTCCTGCTAGATGCCTGCTATCGTGGTAACTATGTTATCTTTAGTCTGCTATCGTAGACTATTCCTGTTAGATGCTTACTATCGTAGGCACTATTTTATCTCAAGTCTGCTATCGTAAACTATTTAATGTTGGATGCCTGCTATCGTAGGCACTATTTTATCTCAAGTCTGCTATTGTAAACTATTTACTCTTAAATGCCTGCTATTGAGGCACAATTTTATCTCAATTCTGCTATCGTAGACCATTCCTGTTAGATGCCTGCTATCGTAGGCATTATGTTATCTATCGTAGGCACTATTTTATCTCAAGTCTGCTATCGTAGACTACTTCTGTTACATGCATGCTACCGTAGGCACTATTATATCTCGAGTCTGCTATCGTAGACTATTCATGTTAGATGCCTGCTATCGTAAGCACTATTTTATCTCAAGTCTGCTTTCGTATAACTTTCGTAGACTATTCCAGTTAAATACCTGCTATCGTAGGAACTATTTCATCTCAAGGTTGCTATCGTAGACTATTCCTGTTAGATGCCTGCTATCGTAGGCACTATTTTATCTATCGTAGGCACTATTTTATCTCAAGTCTGCTACTGTAGACTACTTCTGCTAGATGCCTGCTACCGTAGGCACTATTTTATCTCGAGTCTGCTATCGTAGACTATTCCTGTTAGATACCTGCTATCGTAGGAACTATTTTATCTCAAGACTGCTATCGTAGACTATTCCTGTTGGATGCCTGCTATCGTAGGCACTATTTTATCTATCGTAGGCACTTTTTTATTTCAAGTCTGCTATCGTAGACTACGTCTGCTGGATGCCTGCTACCGTAGGCACTATTTTATCTCGAGTCTGCTATCGTAGACTATTCCTGTTAGATTCCTGCTATCGTAGGCACTATTTTAATTCAAGTCTGCTAACATATACTATTCCTGTTAGATGCCTGCTATCGTTAGAACTATTTTATCTCAAGTCTGCTATCGTAAACTATTCCTGTTAGATCTCTGCTATCGTAGGCACTATTTTATCTCAAGTCTGCTATTGTAGACTATTCCTGTGAGATGCCTGCTATCTTAGGCAATATTTATCTAAAGTCTCAATATCTATCCCAAGTCTGCTATCGTAGACTAATCCTGTTTGATGCTTGCTATCGTAGGCACTATTTATCTCATGTCTGCTATTGTAGACTATTCCTGCTAGATGCTTGCCATCGTAGGCAATATTTTATCTCAAGTATGCCATTGCATAATTCCCGTATGTGTCTGTTATCGTAGGCAATATTTTATCTCAAGTCTGCTATCGTAGACTATCCATGTATGTGTCTGCTATCGTAGGCAATATTTTATCTCAAGTCTGCTTTCTTCCTATAGGTGTCTGCTTTAAAGGATCATTTTTGCTAAAGTCTGCTTATATAATAAATTGAAATTAAGTATTTTTAACACGACATATTTAACCCTCTATAATTTAATGTTTCATTATCACGCTTAAGTGTCATAACTGGTAATTCTGTATAATATATACATGTACAAATGTTATTTATATTGAATATTTCAGTACTTTATGCTAACAAACACTGTATTGCTCTTCAAGGTACCCTTCTTTTTTGGACATAAACACTGGATGGTTGCAAACGCTTTGCTATCATCCATGTTCTTTTGGGGATTAGGCTCGTAAGCCAATACCAAGAAAGAAGGAGGCATGCTGGCTCGGACTACACCGGAATTAATAGTTTTAACATGTATTATGTCTTATTTCCAGTTTTAGTTATATTTATCATATAATCATTCATTTGGTCTGATGTTTCTTAGACAGTTATGCCAAAAAATAAAGATTTATAAGTCTATCACTTGTTTTGTGGTTTTAATTTGATTGAGTATAAATTGAAGTTTACATAGTAAACGCGGTTTATGCAAGATCTAAATTAATCCTACTTTCGATTTGATGTTTACATCGTCAGTACTTGACCTATATCCCGTTTCTAATACCACGTGACTAAATTTAACTCCCTTATCAACAAAGTAGGACCCGCATCAGCAGCTAATACGTATGCAGCCTCTCGATTTCCACAGCGCTCTTTGTTCATAGCGCAAAAAGTGTTTTAGAATATCAACTTTATATTTATTCAATACGCTCATGAACACAAAGTATGACATATATTTAAACATTCAGATCACCTGAAGTATTTTAGGACATTTCCATTTCTCCCCCATCCCTGACCGTTGTGTAGGATATATTCATATTATGATTAAAAAGAACAGATAGCTTATTACATGTTTTTTTAGACAAGTGATGATCTGATTATGGTTATGTATTTTTGTATAATTACAATGCCCACTTGTGGCCCTTATCGTTCATTACTACCTTATCGCGAAAGGCACTTAAATGGGTTTGAATTACTGGAGTATATGTATCTTTTAGCTCAAGCTTGAGTGTGGATTTGACATCTGGTGTTGCATTAAATTTGTTACACCAGGAGATGAATATGTTCAAAAGAGATGAATTATAATAACAATAAAAAGTTAAATAATTTAAACTTATTTCTATTTATTTGCATGTAAGTTCCTGTTATCCTTACACTTTTGAACATGACAAATAGAATTGTTTTTTAGATTTCAATACAGGATGTGCCATTTCAGACCTTTTAAATTTAAAAGCAGAATTACAATATTTTAATTCCGTGCATTATTTCAGGCACGAACGGGCACCTGAGTAAAACCACTGACGAAGGATAGCTACCTCACATGAAAGGATCCAAAGTTCCTGTCGGGATTCGAACCCGCAGCGGTGAGGGGCAAGTGGTTTGAAGTCAACGACCTTAACCACTCGGCCAACGAACCGCCCCTTAACATTTCCGTTTAACTACATTGGAATAACATGTATACGGTAACTACTAGCCTGGTTTACTCGAGGATAAGTCAGAGAAAGAAAACATTTACATGATGAATAACAATTATTTTTTCTAGAACAATTTATTATCTACTAATCCTTAATATATGTAATATCGGATCATTTGTAAACTATCTCACACTTTCCCTACATAATTAATATAAAATTCTTTCGTGGTTTGTTTGATATGACTGACACTTAAAACGATAATGCCAGTATTTGATTTAAAAAGTTGTTGAACACTCTTAGAATATTTTTATTTTTTAATTTTTTTGATTTGCAGTCATTTTCTTTTGTTGTATCATGCCTACTGAAACGACTATCGGAAATATAGGGGCGTCACCACATGACTGCTCTTATCCAATGGAAATTAGACCCAGATCTAGTTAGAGATAAAATAATATTAAAAACTACGTGACAAAAATCGACTTTCCACAAAGCTTACTTGTTCTAATAGAAAAAAAACATAAAATTTTCATCAAAAACCCGTTCTACAAAAAACCAAAAAACCTTCCCAATTTCCCTTTCCCCATTTGGGAATTTTTTGGGGGAAAAAAAATAACCACCAAAAAGGGAGTAAAATAAAACCCTTGTTATGCTTTTTGGCTGAAAATTTTGTCTTTTTCCCTGGACCCCTGGAAATTGGAAAAAATTTTAAATTTTTAAGTATGTTCAAATTTTTGAATTTTACGCCTTTTAGGGTATATTTTCAAAAAACCAAAGGTTTTTGGGTTCCCGGGAAATTTTATTTCAAAAAACTGCGCACTAATACCCTTTTTCTTTGTTTTCTCCATACAAAAAAGGCCCCTTTTTTAGAAAAAGGGCGGGGGGTTTGTTTGATTCAGCTAATTTTCGAAAATAAAATTTAAACCCAAATTTCCCAATTTGTACGTGATGGGCAGTTTTGATAATTTTGGAATGGCCTTGTTTAAAAATGAATGGTACTTTGAGAAATGTCTTCTGGCAAACACATGTAATCTTTGTTCATATAACAATTTGTCCTTATCTCCACTATCTTCACTCCCTGCTCCACTATCTTTCTTCTCCGTTCCACTATCTTTAATGCTGTCATTAGTATTAACATTCAAACTTGGTATACCAAGACCGTGTAATTTGCCTTTGCCAAGTTCATCTGTATTATCGACAGGATTAAATTGGGACTTTTCTGACTTGATGTCTTCTGCTTTTTTCAATTCCTGCCTTTTTTTACCTTTTATTGTGAAATGTACATATATGGGTATTTCAAGTTCCACAGAGAGTATTTTAGAACCCACTTTCTGAAGAGTGTGCACTTGTTTTTGATTTGGATATGTTAATACAAGTGCATTACCTTCATATTCTTTAAAGAAACTATTTATACTTGGGTGCGTAATAGGAATTTTTCTACTATTTTCTGCTGAAAAAAGCTGATGGTCGTATTGAAATATGTTGGATATTTTTGAAAGAACAAATTTGGTGAGAATAACATCACGTGACACCGACATTTCAAATGAAGTTGACACACTGTTTCCGATAGAATATGTTCCATCCATGGTTGACAGAATTAAAGTATCTTCTCTCGGTATCCTTTTTACACATGAGTTGCTTTTCACTGATGTTAAAGGAATTCCATTGATAAAATCAATTATTTCCTCATATTCGTCTATAGATAAATATCCCTTCTTTCTGATGCATTCCATTAATGTCTCATAGTCCATTGTTGGTAATCTTAACAAGTAGAACGTTGCACCCAAAATTGATCTTATTTCTGCTCCTGTGCATTCCTGTTTGCCTTCCTCAAATAATTTTCTTTTCGCCCACTGTATGACTTTCGTGAAAATAATTTTTTCATCGGTATAAAAAGTGTCCCCCTTTAAAATGTAATGTAGACGATCTGCTGAAAGCTGTAAAAACGCTTCGGATTGGAGGATTTCGTCTGCATGGGTGTCAATGAATGCATAACATGCATTGCGCAGGGTTGTTAATTCATAAAATGTTGCTACATTTAATACTTCAAAAGCATTCTTGGCCGTTATAATGGTAGCTAAAAAATCAGCACACACATCTACTAAGTTTAATACCTGATAAAAGTGTGCTATTTCCAGCACTGACGACGCATTTTCTTCACTCAAAGTCAGATCATCACTGTAAAGATACCTGTGAAAAACAGATAAATTATTTGTTTGAAAAAGTCGAATTTATTGATGCTCATTATAACTGATTTCTTTTGACATGTTTAATATTTATATCTTATCTTTCTTCCCTGTTCTCATAAATATGTGCATAATACTTATAAATTTTGAGTCATGCAATAGTAACCTGTTAAAAATTTGAATCAAAAATTAAATCTACCTTAAAAATAGATTGAATATGTTTGCATCTACTTGGTCCAGGTAGATTTCATCTTTGCCATCAGCACAGGTACCGAAGAACATTGATTGAAATACGGGACTTCTTGCTGCTAGAACAACTTTATGTGCAAGAATACATTCACCGTCGATGTGATCTTTGCAGTGAATTTTGACATCTGTCCACAGCTTTTTATCATACAATTCTTTCAAACAAGCTTTAAGGTCCTTGTCCACTTGCCAGGCCTGAGACAAAGCGTCTTTCTTGTGGTCGTTAACAAAACCTTCCATATCGTGGTTGTTGAAGTTGTAACAACTGCAAAAGAAAATTCATGGAATTTGCTTATGATACAGTAAATAAAGAGTTCGATCAATTGCTAATCAATAGTACATGTTAATTATTGTATAATGTATAAAATATTCCAATTATAACAGTGTAAGTACCTTGTTTGACGCCATATGTCTAGCAAAACTGAACCAGAAACTATAAGCAGACTTGTGGTCTAATATGTGTTGACTCAATTATCAGTGGTCTTAAAAGTTGGTCAAATAAAGAAAAAAATAAAGCAATGGAACTGAATCATGTGGTCTTAATAGCGGAAATGCAGGGTGGTCTTAATCGTGAATCATGTGACCATTGACATAAAGAACAAAAAGTCCATTTCTTTTGAAAAATGGTCTTAATCGATCGATGGTCTTAATTTCGGGATGGTCATAAATTACTTCTTTTGATTTTATGTAGAAATATAAGTTGAACGTAATGTTAATTTTTTTGTCAGAAATGAAATAGAGTTATTATTAATATTAATATTATTTTCAATAAATATAACACTTAAAAGTTAAAACAAGACAATAGAGTTTCAAGCATGAAAAACGACATCTGTTTGTATGTATGATATAGTTTATTATGTAAGATTGCATATACATGTGACGTTTTATTGATGGTTTTATCGCTTAACATTCCTTACGGGGTAAGCAAACAAAAATCTCATGTTTATGATATAACATTTATCAGTGAAAGCACTAAAATGACCTATCGTTTGTCATAACATCTAATCTTGTTTTGAAGTTGTTTAAGTTTTTTACCTATAGAAGTGTATGTAGAAAAACACTGTATATAATCATTTTAAACAAGATCTTTGAAACATTTTTATGTAATTAAATTCCTGTCATCGGGCTTGTTTTGGTTTTATTTTGTTGTCAGTTTGTTTTAACTAGTTTGGGGCATTTACTTGACAGATAACTTATACATAAGGATGCCAAGCATTATGTTGTGTTTTGGTTTACATTATAATTTTTGTTGTCTTCCAGATCGATGACCCCATTTAATTTACAGAGTACGTTAAAAGAAGTCTTGATAACAGAAAGTTGCAATTTTCACACACATGAACGGATGCAGTTTGAATGACAATAAAGAAGAAGTAGAAAAGATAAAAACAAAGCCAATAAGAAAATATTTAAATATAAAATCTTGCTGTTTGGACAAACATTCGTTTTACAAACTAATATCATTTGAATGATTTAATGTTTGAAATTTAAAATGTTAACCTAGGTAAGAGGGTAACTTTGTTTTTTGTTAAAGTCAGACTAAAAAGGACGAATGAAACATTTGTTTTAATTTACGATAAATTGTCACTCACCTTTTCTTTAAAATGTGCTTTAAAATCCGTAAGGACGTTTTATTGAGTCAACACACAACCTAGTAACTGCATATAGAAAGTGGGGACTATCATTTTTCGAAAATCGGTTTTCACAATTTATCAAGTTTATCAAGATATGTGTGACCTATATATCAACTATCAGGTTTAACACTAGAAAGTAGCTTATATATGAATTTGTTTAGGATCATATTTATACTTAATTTCTGAAAATGCATAGGTAATAAGTATGTCGTTGTAAGTACTGAAATTTATTTTAGTTATTACTACATCCTCTTTCTAAGGCAACACTAAATTTGTATATTAAAGCTGCATGCCTCCAGATGAGCGAAAATATTTCAAGAAATCAAATTTGAGAAAAATGTACTAAAATTTTAGGAAAAGTAAAAATATTCAAGATTCAAGTAATAATTTACATGTTATGTGCGATTAATGACTGCAGTTTTCAGTATTTATAACTATATTTCTACTGCGTTACTAACGCAGTAAGGACCATTTTTGCATATTTTGTCCTCTTGCAATTTACGTGGGCTGTAAGTGCCATTGATAATTTGTAAATTGCTTCCTTTTGGTTATTTAAGTAAATAATACTTTTAAACACATTTTCAAAATTTTCACGAAAATAACCATGAATCTGGAGGCGTGCTGCTTTAAAAAGTATAAACAGGAGCCGGAATCAGATTTAACTTTAAAAATAAGTTTATTTATGAAGGCTTAGTAATCAAATTCCTAGGCATCAATAAGAGCATTCATTAAGTTTAAACATAGAACGCCAATGACCGCTCACCAACACCTGTTTTTCTCGTTCATCGAATCGTTAAAACAACAGTATATTGTTTGCTATTTAATCGTAAAAACACTTACACCAGTACATTGTTTGCTTTAACTTTGAAATGCAATGCTTTGAGCCTCAAGGTGAAGTTTAATATCGTACGTCTTAGTTAGTTTAAACATACCTAGTTCTTCTTTCAATCAATCTTTCAATATTTCTGACAATCAAAATTGTAGATTAAATGCTCTTGACGTTTGATTCAATGCGAGATATTAGCATACTCGTATATATCATATATTTTCTATTTTGTGAAAAAATGGCGTAATACGTAAATAAACAGCTTGTTAACGACGGTTTTAGGAAATGAAGGTGCGTTAATTTTGTGATGTAAAATGACGTCAAATTTAAGGACGGAGCAACGTAATGTTATTTAACTTCATAGCAACTCTAATACGGGACCAACTGAGATTTTAGCCGTTACCTTAAAATCAAATTCAGCCATAAATTGTTCAAGAGAAACTTGTGTTTTAATGTTAAACAAGATTAACAAGCGGTAATGATAGAATTAGGATAAAGAGCGCTCCAGACGGCCATAAGTAGCCTGGCCAAAATATCGTAGATTGCGTTATAAAATTCTTTGGAAAGACAGGCATCTCACACACACACTGTATTGGAACCAGTGAAATCTTTGTTTTTAAATTAATTTAAGTATAAGAGATTCATAAGGTAATGGCAAAGGAACAAACATGTATTAAGTATACGCCATACAGGAACCATAGCTGTTGAAAACGGAAGAAAATGAATAATCTGTAAACATGAAGTTAATTTGACGCCGTTGACGTTGTCAAAGTGCTCCATGACAATGTATATATGTTGTATGTAACTACTGTTAAAATACAAATGTAACTCACAGTTCAGTAATCTTTTATAAATGTGTTCGCTAGATATGTATAGTTGTGCTGACAAAATTTGTACAACATATGTATTGTTATAGTATAAAACATGAGTATATGAACTTTCCAGACATCCCTCGTATATATCATAAATGGATGGAATTTCAATTTTATTGAAAAGAAAATGCATGCTTACTGGGTTGATCAGAGATAGAATAATAGTACAAAACTCTCTGTGATTTTTATGTTAAACATTTTAAACTAAATGTTGGTGACGTATATTGCAACAATCAAAGTATTTATATCATAAAGAAAAGACAGTATAGAAAATAATACATTCATTTGTAAAACAAAGTACATGCTTTCATTTTCCTAAAATGAAATATGATGACAATGGTGAAATACTTGATATAGTTAACAAATTATCATACTTAGGTGTAGTGTTTACTTGTGGTGGGTCATTAAGCACAGCTCAAAGTACCCTGGCGGGTCAAGCTCAGAAAGCAGTTTTTTAGTTAAACAAATGCTTATATAAATTTACTTACATACCACATCGATATAAACCCGATTTATTTGATAAATAAGTTTTGCCAATATTAAATAATAGTAGTGAAATATTAGGTTTTACTAATGATATATCAATAGAAAGTGTTAATTTGCAATTCTGTAAAAGAATTCGTGGTGTGAAAAAGACAACTCAAAATGATTACGTTTATAGAGAACTGGGAAGAGCCTCTTTACAAGTTATTCATCATATAAACATTGTTCAAAACTGAGTAAAGATATTAAGAGCACGCGAAAATAAATATATCTATATGATCTATAGCATGTTAAAATTAGTTTTTGTACGAGAAGAGCATTAGGTAAACTAGTGTTCAATGGTTAAAAAAAACTATTATGTTCCCTTGGTTTTTATGATGCTTGGTGAGAGCAAAATGTTGGTGATATTGAGTTATTTTTTATCTTCAGTTAAACAAAAATTAACGTATCAATTTATTCAGAACAGACATGGTAGACTAATTGATTCAAGCAGAGCATTATTTTACAGAAACATTGCATCTTGAATTTTTTTTAATGAATAAATTTTGCCAAGCTGTATCTAGATTGCGTGTTTTATCACACAGGTTACAAATTGAGTCAGGTAGATGGGGTACGTCCAATAAGAATTGCAATTATAAATGAAAGGAAATGTAACTTATGTCGTTTATTGAAGGATGAATTTCATTTGCTATTGAATGCTGTCTTTACATTTTTTTACGGAAAAAGTTGCTATTGGAATGGACCGAATATGTTTAAGTTTTTAGAATTGATTAAATCTGATAACAAAATTATATTTAGAAATTTTGGAATATATGTATACAACGCGTTTGCTATTAGAAATATCGTTATGTACGAGCAATAATGTACAAATCTCTATATATTTCTCTTCTCTTCTTTGGTTGCCACAGCGCAGTGGAAATAGTGCTCCTTTCAAGATATAAAATTCAATACTAAAACTTTAATAGAGAAAAGAATAAATGATATTTGAATAATTCTACAGTTATTTTGATGATGATGTTTCACAAATAGCCAATGTGTTAACTTTTTTCTCTTTTGTTTTCGATAAATGTTGACTGTAAATTGGAGTACAATTTCCATGATTGCATATATATTATATTGTTTTGAATAATTCTTTCTCCTCTACTGGAAAAGTTTTAAGGTTGAGTTTCAACCTTCTCTTATATTTAAAATATTTCAAAAAGAGATGTATTATTATCATTATCATGCATTACTCTTTCATGTCATATACGTATAGTATGTTTGTAATGTGTTATCCTCATGGGCTTATCAGCCTATTGGAAATGAAATAAATAAATAGTTCTGTATATTAATGTTAGCATTAGTCTGCTTTGTCAATTTTCATATTACACGTTTCATGTTACAACTTGTTACAACGAGAGGTTCTTTAAATATTTGTACATGTATAGGGTATCGAGTGTCTTTAACTTTATCGGTACTATTTGTCTAAAATCAATTTACTAATTAATACATCGGTCATGATCTAGGAAAGGTATAAAAATGTGGCATCCGTTTTCCGGTAGTTATTTTATCAAACAAAACGTTATTGTTTTTAAAGTCATTTAGAACCCTGTACAGGAAGTAGGTGTATTTTATGAAAAATTGGGCCTGACTTTATAAACAACAATCAAACCAAGCAACCAAAAATAGTAAATGTCTTAAGTAGATCAAAAATTACTTTTATTAGAAGTCAGGTTAGTAACATTTTAACATTGCTTACTTAGCTTCATTCATAGACCTCAGCCTGTTATGTAGCCATGCAGCTGGCAACTCTGTCAATTTGTAACCTTATAGAAGACGTTTTTTAACAATACAAGTGTATAATATAAGATATACTTTATGTATGAAATACTGACTTGACTTTGCAAATTTAAAGAGGACATTTGGAGCCTTAGGGAAAAATAAAACAATATTATTCTGAATTATGCAAAAACAAACAAACAAATACCAAAATGAATTAAAAATGATAAAGAAAATTAAAACATTAAAAAGAGTAAAAAAAGAGAGTAAAGGTTGTTTATATCTTGTTTAAAGAATGTTATCATGTGAACAATCTATATTTTCAATTTGGTGTAGCTTTAAATATATACCATTAATTCGTTTACTGATAAGAATAGCTCATACTTTAAATTTGAATACCAATCTTTTGTTTGTTCTTCCAATAATCCAATTATAATTGTCATAGACAATTTTGAAACTATATACTACAAAAAGTATGCCTATTGTAATGAATAAATCTGACATTTTTACCTGCCAAAGTACATTGTGTAATTGTTTTGTGCTTTGATCGATAGTTATTTGTTACTTATCTCTTTTAATGTGTTTTAGGCTATACAATGACTTTAAAATCTTATATTTTATTTCAGAATTAGAATGTTTCTCACATGTTTTATCCCACAAAGAAAATAAAAGTTTGAAAAATAATAGCCATTGAATAATTTTAAGACATTTTCTGCAGTTTTCGGGAAATTTAATCAATCCTTTCATAGAATTTTCAAAATGTTTTGTATGATAAGTTAAATTGAATGGCGTGTTTTTTTTGTTTTTTTTTTAAATGGCAGTAACATGGTAACAGTAATCTCAAAACTGTCAAAAGTACAACCCAGTGTATTAAAAAATGAAAACAAGTACATAAAACAGCTTCATTCACATAACAAGCATAATTTTATACAAAGATAACATTATCTAATGAGTCTGTATGAAACAAATAATAACTTGAACATATTTCTTTAAACAATGAGTTTTTAATGTTTCTTTATTCAATAAAAGATGAGAACAATAAACATGACTTCTGTTAATAATTAAAGATATCGAATAATTTCTTTCAAGGAACTTCCTAAATTTTACGTATTATAAATAAAATTTAATGACGAATTAAAAAATAAAAAGAAAAACATATATGTTTACGTTCTAGATTATTTGTAAAATGGCAGTGTCCATGGTAACCGTATATCACAAATGTGTCAAATAGCCACAATGTGTATTACAGAATGTAAAAGACAGCTTAATACATACAACAAGCATAATTTTATATAAAGATGACATTT